CTGTTTCTTTTGAGGTGCAGAAGCTTCTTAGTTTAAGATAGTTCCATTTGTCTATCTCTGTTTTCACTTGCTTGGCCAGTGGCGTGACCTCTTTGAAGATACCATTAGCTTCAATGTCATGGAGGGTTTTACCAACTTTGTTTTCAATGTACCTTTTGGATTCCGGTCTGATGTTGAGGTCTTTAATCCATTTTGATCCTACTTTTGTAGTTGGTATTAGGGACAGATCTGAGCCCACTTTTTTGCATGAAGCTGTTCAGTTTTGCCAGCCCATTTTGTTAAAGAGGCTTTTCTTGCTCCATTTCACATTTCTTGCCCCCTTATCGAAGATTAGATGATCATATGCTTGGGGGGAGATGTCTGTATATTCAACCCTGTTCCATTGGTCTGCAGCTCTGCCTTTGTTCCAGTACCATGCTGTTTTAATTATTACTGCTTTGTAGTAGAGTTTGAAGTTAGGGAGGTTGATTCCTCCCATTTTCTTTTTCCCCAGAATTGCTTTAGCTATTCACAGGGGCTTATTGTTCCGTATAAATTTCAGGAGTGTTTGCTCCTTTCTTTGAAGATTGTCATGGGTATCCTAATCGGGATCACATTGAATTTGTACAGTGCTTTGGGAAGTATTGCCATTTTGACAATGTTAATTCTCCCGATCCATGAACTGGGGGTATTTTTCCATTTCCTGGTGTCCTCTTTTATTTCCTGAAGTAGCGTTTTGTAGTTTTCTTTGTACAGGTCCTTTACTTCCTTAGTTAAGCTGATTCCTAGGTACTTGATTTTCTGGGGCACAATTGTGAATGGGATTGTTTTCTTCCTGATACTTTCTTCTCTTTCACTATTTGCGTATAGTAAAGCCATGGACTTTTGGGTATTGATTTTATAGCCTGCAACTATACTATACAAGCCTATTGTTTCTAGGAGTTTCTTGGTAGAGGTTTTAGGGTTCTCTAAGTATAGTATCATATCATCTGTGAAGAGTGAGAGCTTGATTTCTTCCTTTCCTACCTGGATGCCCTTAATATCTTTTTCTTGCCTAATCATTATTGCAAGTACTTCCAGTACTATATTGAACAGCAGTGGAGAGAGTGGACATCCTTGTCTCGTCCCTGATCTTAGAGGGAAGGCTCTCAGTTTTTCCCCATTGAGGATGATGCTTGCCGTAGGCTTGTGGTCCAACTCCTTTCTTCGCCCAATTCTTGGTGACTGTTGACATTCTTTGAACATATCGTCAAATCTCACTGTGCTCCATTTGTCACCCTCTTATGATACATACAATTGTATTTAGGACCTACCTCTAAACTCCTATTTTAATCATGCTTTTAAAATCTCTTTTCTAAAATGAAACATAACTTCTGATTTCACGGTTTAAGTTCTGATCTTTTTTTGGAGGGGGACAGGGGGTAGGGGCATTTATTTTGTCTATCATAATCATGTGAGTTTCTAATTCAGAATTTGCTGAAGAAACTCAGTTTTCAATCAGAAAGGTTTCATAATCCCCAAAGGTCAGGAGCTTGAGTGGGAGTATATTGTTTCCTATGATATCTAGGAATATGTCACTGGCATTGAACTATCATTTCTTTTCAATTTTATTCATTTTTTTTCTTTTTCGCACACCATTTCACTCTTTACTTTGCGTTTGGGCTACACCTGGCAGAGCTTAGCTGTTGATCCACGTAGTGCTTAGGGAATTAGGTGCTGCCAGAACCCGAAGCCAAGCCATCTTCAGGTAAGGCCCGTGCACCTGCCCTCGGACAACAGCCTAGCCCTTTACTCCAACAAAAAATAAGGACTTTACAGAAACATAGTATACCACTTTTAAAAACAGGCACCTTCAATGCTTGTGTTTTTGGTGTTTTAAACATAGTTTAAAGTCATTAAGGCTTTCATGGAGTCGGGGATGGGCAACCTGCCCCCACCTCCCTGTCTGGGAGCAGTCACGCCCAGGAATGCTTCTGGTGCCAGATAAGCTCATTAGTGGCCACAATCCAGAGACTCTCAAATAAATCTCAGGGATCAACAAGCTGCAGAAATGCCTCCAGACCCTGCGCCAGGTGAAGTCCCATCTTGGGGTGGGTGAGCCCACCACCAGTCCAAACGGAACCCCTGAAGTCAAAAACCTCCAGAACCTAATTGCTGCCATGATCAAAGCTAATCTCCTCAGGCTCAGGACAAGCCTCATCCATGAATGGATCTGTTGAAAAACTCTGGTATGCCGGTTTTGTGACCAGAATCTCCAGGCTCTCACAGGGCTTGGGATGGGAGGCTCCAAAGTAACCATCCAGTTAAAAAGTTAACTCCAGCTATATCACCTTATCTAAAATTTCAGAATTCCTGGAGTGATGTCTCAAACTCTATACCACTGATGTACCGAGAGTAGCACACCACATTGGATGGGATGTAAAGTAGAAGGCAAACCATCTTGGTTGAAAAGATACTAGCACACAAGGTTCTGCATGTAACAACATGTTAGTGATCTCATATACGAGGGTTTAATGGCTCCAGGGTGAGATACAACAATCTTCAAATACTTTCTTCTAAGGAAACTGTTTGGGTCATTTTTAATGAATTATTCATAACAAGCAATACAAAGAAGATTATTTAGGGCCTGCTATTGGGGCAGGCTTGGATCATGGTTGGGAAAATTTGAAATATTGGTGGTGGGAAGGTGTAATATTGGTGGGATTGGTGTTGGAATATTGAATGTAATAACTTATTATGAACAACTTTATAAATATAAAATTAAATTTAAAAAGAAGCCAGGATGCTTTAAAAAAGACATTAAAATATATCACACATATTTTGAAAGTGCAAAAATGTGTGAATAAATGTGGAGAATTCCCTTAACATAAATAAAATTACACAGGGATTCAAATAATGAAAGTTACTTTTCCTTCTCTAAAATATTTACTTATAATTTTAGGCTTCTGCTTCTTTTAAAATTTTTATAGAATTGATCATCTACAAGCACACTCTATCCCCAAATATACAGACTAATAGTCAGACATCAGCCTGTGTTACACTAAATTAGTAAGCCTTCCACTCTATTTAATGTCTAATATAATTTTAAAATACATAATATTCATTTTATGAAAAATAATTCATGTAGTCTACTTTCATGTATATAGTGGCAGATACAGAGAATTAGCATAACATCATTTGTAATGTCCTTGAGTAGTAGAACTTCAGAGATAAGGTATTTGCTTATCTCTGATTAAACAGACAGATACAAGAAGGTCATAAAAGTTTTTATCTCCATGCATATGACAGGGATCAGAAAAATTTAAGTATTCAGAAAAATCACAGGGACATAGTATCTAATTAGAGGCCATCTGGATTGCTTTTTTAGAGGGGACTGGGAGTCAGAGGTGTTCTTGAAGGGAACTTGGTGGAAGATAATTTCAATGCAAATTCTGGAGCAAAGGGGCGTGTATGACTCAGTCAGCACCCGAATGCACCTTCCAAGCCTCAGCCTCAGATTCTTCAGAGACACTGACTTGCTTAAATTCAGATTTGAAAACAAATTCCAACATGCCTACTGCCTATGTCCTCAGCTATCTCTTTCTGTCTCTGTTTCTCATTATGCAAAAAAACAGACCTTAACTATTTTAATTTTTGTTCTGGCCAGTCACTTTAATGTAAGACTTCACACTTTTATTTCCGCCACTAACGAACACAAACAACACAGAGCTTATGAGCAATTTCCACACACCTCAGATATAAAGTATCTCTGATGGGTAAATCAACCTATAGGGGTACTGAATGTTCTTGCACAATCACGAGAAATGGTCTCAGTTGCCACTGCTAGTTCCCACTCAGAAAGGACTCAAGGAACTCTAGTACTTTGTTTTCAAGCTTCTCTCTGAAACTCTGTGGATCTGATGCTTTCAAACAGATATTTCTGGGGGCCCAATAGGTCAATGAGGAAAGGAAAAGTATCTACCAGATTTTATTTTGTCCGATTTTGTGTTGCTCCATCTATTTTTTTTTTTCTTTTTGGGTCACACCCGGCGATGCTCAGGGGTTATTCCTGGCTCATGCACTCAGGAATTACTCCTGGCGGTGCTTGGGGGACCATATGGGATGCTGGTAATAGAAACCGGGTCGGCCATGTTGGCTGCATGCAAGGCAAATGCCCTACCCGCTGTGCTATTGCTCCAACCCCATCTCCATCTATTTTTAAGAGAAGTAAAAAGATGCTAAAGTAAAGTTTAGCAACTTTATTGTTTAGTAGTCATTTTAAATATCTAATTAGAAGTTACTTGACTGAGCAATGCAATCTGTTTCTTCTAGAAAACATATTAGTTGATGCCTTCAGCTTGCTGCTTCCTAGCTCCACCTTTTCGTTGCCATGGATGTGTCGATTCTTATGATGCATCAGCTACGCTTGTTATAAAACTTGTTCATGTTCATTTCACTTGTTAAGGAAGCCTTATTAAGCAATTACACAAATCGCTTTTGGGGGGCGGGGTAGGCAAAAACACATAAACAACAAAATAAATTTCTCTCTGCTTTAAGATGAATGCAACTGAGAATTTTAAACTATGCATTTAAGGTATCTCTTATATAATACTGTTGCTGAGGAATGAAATTGAGCAGTCTCATAATCAAATTGAAGCCCTTAGCCAGATTTCAGAGTTGATATATAGCAAATTTTAACTTATACTTCTTTATTATCTTATTGTATCATATAATATAAATTGACATAGATATTTGAATCAAAATAAAGGGCATATATCTATGTACGTATATATTTAATTCCCTTTGACAACTTTTTTTGTCTGATAAGAGCCAATTAATTAATATCACAACTGCACATCACAAGAGACTCTTTCCAAACAGTAAGATGAAAGCATCAAGAGCAAGGTAAACAGTTTAGTTGGTACAAGTTACCTAAACTGTTGCCAGTAAATGTGACCATCCTCTCATCCCATTTGTTTTTTCTTATATCTGAATGCCCCACCCCCAAGCCCCAATGCTGAGACAGGGACGCTAGTTCATACCCATCCTTTTTGTAAAATTCCAGCATCATATTGTCTGTGGCAACACTGAGGGGCCGGCGGGCCTGCTCGGGCTGGCGCCGGTCAGCAGGGTCCATGTCGGGGGAAGGCATGGAGCTGTAGTTGGCATTGTGGTTCACGTGTACTGGGCTCCCATAGTTCCCCGTGATGTTGAACTCTATGTCTGTGGTAAGAGATAACAGGTGTGCATGAGTTACCGGCTTGTAGTCTCCTGGGCAAGAGAGATATAAGTAGAAGTGGCCGCTTCTTTCTATAATTAATTCACCACTAGAAAATTTTCTTCCATGGTTCAATGTTAGCTAATGTCTTACTATTTGGTTTGGGGACCACACCCAGCAATATTCAGGGGATACTTCTGGCTCTACGCTCAGAAACGATCTTGGTGATGCTTGGAGGACCATATGTGATGACAGAGATTGAATTCAGGCTGCTGCTTGCAAGGCAAAAGTCCTACTTGCTCTACTATCATTCTGACCCTTTCTCAATAATTCATATTACTCATAATTCACTCCCATGTTCACAGGTAAATTAATTTACTCATCTCATATTTTAATAGATTTAAAATAAATTTCTACTTATGATTAAAAAAACTAGTAAAACAGGATTTTTAAAAAATGATGAAATCACCTATATTATACCCTATGGTTATAACTGAGACCCTTTCTCAATAATTCATATTACTCATAATTCACTCCCATGCTCACAGGTAAATTAATTTACTCATCTCATATTTTAATAGATTTAAAATAAATTTCTACTTATGATTAAAAAAACTAGTAAAACAGGATTTTTTAAAAATGATGAAATCACCTATATTATACCCTATGGTTATAACTGAAACCAAAGCAGACTAATATGTCCACTCTCACCATTGTCACATTACTGGGAAAATATGAGCCAATGGAAATTTTCAAGAAAATAAAATAAGAGGCAATATTATATTTATGATGATTTAGTCTTTCTGAAAAATTAAAGAGAAAAGATAGAAAACATTAGGAATACTAATAAATTTTATAAAATTGTTGGCTACTCATTTCTACTCATTATTTTTAGTAATAGACTTTGTTTTTACTTGTAATTAATTAGCTTTCCCAGAAAACCGATAGAATTATGTCTTGATCCTACTTCCATTATTTCATTTTCAAAATTTCCTTCCCTCATCCAACTTTGCATCACCAAGAGAATTTTTACAAGACTAGCCATTCAGAGCTTTCATAACCAAAACACATGAAGCAAAATAGCAGTTATCTTTTTGGAGACAGAGGGAGAGTACAACAGGTAAGGTGGAAAAGGGTCCCTAGTAGCACCATACAGTTTCCCAAGTCCTACTGGAAATGATTTTTGAAAAGAGAACCAGGAGTAAGCCCTGAGCATTGCTAAGTGTGGCCCTCAAACCAAATCAAAAGAAATCAAAACAAAACCATCTTAAAATTAAACACCTTTGGAATTTAATTTTAAACTAAAGAAATAAATCTCACTGTTTTTGTGTTCCATGTTTAGAAGGGAACTGCGGGACACAAAAGGATTTCACATAGGTGATCTATAAATCCTGAGTGAAAATCCACTTTCATCCAAGCCTCAGTTTCTACCTGTGTCTAAAACGTGAAGAGTTTTGAACTAATGGTCTCTCTTTTCTTTATACACCAGTTTTTCATGATTCAAAAACAACAGTATAGATATTATATCACAAAAGTACATGGACATGGTTAGTCCAACTTATACATCTTCAGGCCAGAGAAGGAATCTCCCGTCAACCTGCTTCATACCTGAATGACTTTGTATCGCTGTGTTAAAACAGACATTAAAACAAAACATACTTGTGAGCAGTAGTTTGGTTTTAAAAGTCTGGAACTCAGATTATCACCCCTGCTCTTCCTCTGATCCCTCTTCCTATGGCCCACACCTTGATGAGCCCACATACCTCCAGGGAAGAACCAGTCTGCATGCTGGATGATGGGCTCAATAATCCCAACAATCTGCAAGGAGACTGTAGTCATCATCTCTGTGATGTTCCTGTAAGTGGGGATAAAGGCAAGAGGAGTTACAGCAGGAGCCGGGGATGAGCACCCGCTTTACCACAGCCTGGGAAGCACTCTGGACTGAAGTCTGAGGGCCTCTCTTGGAGAGCAGGCTTTCTCAGGCAGAAGAGATTTGTCTTCTGAGTTCCTTTTTCCCTGTCTACAAAGATGGAGATAACCACAAGAACCTTCATTATAGGAACTATGTAAATGAGGAATAAACCTAAAGTCACCAAGTATGAAGCAAGTTGCATCATGAAGTTTACCCTTAAGAACCATCAGATGCATCTCGATAACTTGCTCTCTCTCTGGAGACATCCCTCTGTCCCTGTACCTTCCAGTCCTTTGCCCTGTATCTGTCATATGGACACTAACAAGACGAACTCAGAGATGACCCTCTTTCAGACCCGAAACCAGCCATGAGAAAGATAGATGGGATTCTGAGCTGCATGCATGCATGGGAAAAGGAGCAGGGTGAGACTCTGGGAGTGGGTGAGGCAATGTATGGGAAGGCGCAGGCCTCAGGCCCAGCCCCCACAGCACAGAGCTTCCTGAGCACCATTAGGTCACACTAGTCCTCAGCATTGTAGGGGCCTGCACGGAATTCCACCTTAGATGCCAACACTAAGCTGCTCACCCCAAAAGCCTGGGATCACTGAGAGTCCCCTTGGCACCCTGAGCACTACTTGGCATCCTGTAACCATAAAAGGAAAAAAAAAGACTAGAAAACTACATGAGACTTGATTTAAGCACATTAATGGCCAGGATGCCAGGATCTAGAGACTCACTAATGAATAACGAAAGACAGCAGCACACCACAGAGATGCCTCTCCACCCCGCACCAGCCTAACCACACCAGAGCACCTCAGAGTGGGGGCAGGTGTGTCCCTCTGCCTGTTCCTTCCTGTGCCCTTGCAGTCACACCCACAAACTGCCTCTTGGGTGGAGTTTAAGCGCATTAAAGGTCATGATCCACAGATTCACAAAAGAATCTCAGAGGAAAGCAGCATGCCACAGAGATGCCACTGGACCCTAACTATTTAAAATTTTAGAAATCCAGGAGCACAAAGCCACTGACACCTCCTACTGTTCATAACAAGCAATACAAAATAAATTATTTAGCAGGGGTCACACCCACCAACTGGCCCCCTGGTGCCGTGTAATCCCATCAACGGCCAAGACTCAGTGACTATAAAATCCAGCTCCCGGACGAGAACAGTGCAGTCTCCTGCCCCCGCGTCTGGCTGTCCTCACTGGGGCCCCTTGGAGGGGAGCGGGTTGAGTTTCCCTCCCCACCCCGACCAGGGCTCCGGCAGCCGAAGACCTCCAGAACCAGCCACCACCATGCTGAGACCACTCTCCACACGCATGAAGGTACTGGCCGAGGAACATAGGCATGTGGGTCCCAGGGCTGAGCTCTCCAAGCCTGCTCGGATCGGGGCTGAGCATTCTCCACCCAGATCCTCCAAATTCCAGTAGGCAGGGGTCACACCCACCAACTGGCTCCCTGGCACCATGTAATCCCATCAAGGGCCAAGACTCAGAGACTATAAAACCCAGCTCCCAGAAGCGCGTGGCCGCATTTGCGGCCGCACGACATCTTATTGTGACATCTTATTATCTCATTCCTACTTTGGACAAACTGGCAGGCTACCGAATGTAACCTGCCCACACGGCAGAGTCTGCCAAACTCCCCGTGGTGTACCCAATATGCCAAATACCAGTAACAATGATGGGTCTCATTCTCCTAACCCTGAAAGAGCCTTGAATATGGCACTTTTTAAAATATCTCAGGGCTAGGATGAAGGAGGCGTTACTGGGGCCTGCTTGAGGCAATCAACGAACAACAGGATGGTCGTGATTGTGATGTTTAGCACCTGCCTGTGGAGCAGGCTTGAGTGGTGGTGGGAAAATTTGAAATAATGGTGGTAGAACTGATGTTGAAATATTGAATGTAATCAATTACTGTGAACAATTTTATGATAATAAAATTGAAAAATTAAAAATATAAAACTCCATGAGACTGCCAGGTGATTGTGCCTGTCTGGGCCATCTCACCCACACCACTTCAGTTGCACATAATACCTACCTGGTTTCTACCTCCTGTACTCACCCTTCTGCTTGTGGCCATAAGAGATTGGGTCCTAACACAATTGCAATATTACTGGGAGTCATCTTGTTTACATCTTGATATTCTGAAAGCTTGGATAAAAACTTGATCAAGTATCTGAAAGGAAATGAGAAGGTCACATTTTGCTAAGAGTCAGCACCAGTCATGTGCCTACAGTAAGAAAGAATTTCTCCTCTTCCTGGTGAGACTCATGCATCCTATAATTTAATAGACACATCATGTGTCAGGAAGTAGAAATTCTGTATTCACTTTCTAAAAGCATATTCGGGCCTCCCTCAGCTGGATGAAAACATCTAGCTACAAAGATTCTTCTTTTTTCCTTCTGGCCCAGCATATCTTCTACTTCAATCCTCAATCATCTGCCAGCCCCTACCAGCCCCTGTGTTTACCCAGAGGTGAAAATCAAAGTGCTCTAGGTCTCATTGGTAGAGCACCAACATGCTGGGGTGGTGTCTCTTAGAATATCCTCCGCAACTCAAGAATATTTCTAGAGAGTCAGTGGAAAAAAAAGTTAAATGATGACTTACTTAAGTGAAACATTCACTCATAACATACACAGAAGTTCAGAACAGCATTGTCATTATAGCAAGAAAGTGGCACTACCTAAATATCCATCAAAGAAAGAACAAAATGTGGCTTGTCTCTAAAATGAGGTATTATTCAGCTATAAAAAATAATGGCTATTGCTATAAATGCTAAAAATGGATGAATTTTGAGAATAATATTATGCAAAGTAAAAGAAGTCAGTCACAAAGGACTACTTGTATGAATCCATTGATTAGATTAGAGAATTCCAGACTAGGAGCATCTGCAGATAAAAAAAGCAGACTGGTGTCAGCAACTGGTTCAGGGGAAATGACCTATGACTACTAATAGGAAAAGTTTTAATTTTTTGTGATGATAAGATGTCTAAAAATTATATAGGGATGGCAGAGATGCCCCCAGACCCCACACCAGGCTGAATTTCAGATCCAGGGCACCCCTGAGGGGGATGGGTAAGTGTCCCCCCACCCCCGCTCTAACAGAAGCCTGGCAGCCAAAAACCTCCCGAACTCAGTCGTTGCCATGCTCACAGCCAATCTCTACAGACTTGGAGGAGCTTAAATAAAACCCTAAACCAGAGGCTAGAGACAGTGTAGGGGTGGAGGCACTTGCTTTGCATGTAGTGGCTCCCGTTTAATCCCCAGCACCACATGTGGTCCTCCAAAGGCTGCCAGAATTGATCCTTAGCACAGAGTCAGGAGTAAGGCCTGAATACAGCTGGTGTGCCCCCCACCACCCAAAACATCCAGAAGAAAACTATGAACCACAGTTGTCCACTCACCGGATGTTGTTGTGATTAGCCTTGGGTAATTTTTCACAGGCATTCCACAGAGCCTGAAGTCTCTTGTCTTGCTCCTGGATACTGGGAAATCCATAAGTTGAGGATAAGTTAATGTCACTCTGGCAGTCAAATTAGCCAGCCATTATAACATTTGAAAATAAGGAGTCATTGTTATTCATTATGTCAGTAATCTGTTATTATTCAAATGTTTGCCTGTCATTATATCTTCCTTCAAGTTCTCTTTCTGTCTGTTCCTACTGCTACTAATAAAAATCCTATTGTGCATGGCACTTATACCCGCATGAATGCATGTCAAGGTAGAAGACAGGAAGAAGAGGACAGAGACCAGACTTCCCTGGAGTAGGCAAGGATAATGGCACTGAAATCAGAGCACAGGACCCCGGTCAGAGAGCCCAGACACTTTCCTACCAAGACAGCAATGTGCTTCATTACGCACATAAGCTCCTTGAAATCTGGCATATAAGAGTCTAATAATCATCCTTGAAGCCCACTTTCCACCAACCTGCTCTAAAGATTCATGAACTAAATCTCTGAGGAAATGCAAGCTAAGCCGCTAAAATTCATAGACACACCCGTCTCCTAGCTAACACACTGGGGCACCCTCGGGCGTTTGCCTTGCACGTGGACAACCTGGGTTGATTCCCAGCATCCCGTACGGTCCCCGAGCACCGTCAGGAGTGATTCCTGAATGCAAAGCCAGAAGTAACCCCTGAGCATTGCCGGGTATGACCCAAAAAGCAGAAAAAAATTATAGCAAAGTATGTCACAATACAGATTTTCAATGGTTACTTTCTCTCTACTTGTCTCTGGAGCGATAGCACAGTGGTAGGGCATTTGCCTTGCACGCAGCCAACATGGCCAACCTGAGTTCGATTCCTCTGCCCCTCTCGGAGAGCCCAGCAAGCTACCAAGAGTAACTCGCCCACATGGCAGAGCCTGGCAAGCTACCCATTATGTATTCAATATGCCAAACACAGTAACAACAAAGTCTCCAATGGAGACGTTACTGGGCCCACTCAAGCAAATCGATGAACAACGGGAGGACAGTGACAGTGACAGTAACTACTTGTCTCACCAATGAACCTCTAGTGACTCTTAGATTTTTGCTTTTCCAAGTAATGTTGCAGTCAACATTAATCTAAGTAATGTTGCAGTCAACATTAATGAAATGACCCTTAGGACATATGTACAAATACTTCTTTATGAGAAATGTCAAGAAACCTATGTTTGATCATAGGTTATATGATTTTATAATTTCAATAAATATTTCCAAATAAACTCTAACCCACAAGAATCACCAAAATGTTGTGTACTTACTTAGAAGCCTGAATCCACTCATCATAAAGTTCAAAAGTCATGAGTGGTTCTGGTAATTCTCGGAGGTAAGATTTCAAAGCGCCTGGGAATGAATATAAAATTAATCACGAGTCACAACAACATGGCAAAAACAAATTATACAAGCAAGAATTACCCACATAAATAGCATCTGTTGATATGCCTGACAAACATGAGAAAAATCAAATGATAGCTTCACATGGACAGAGTCAAGATACTCAAATGGCTATCAGAATGGGTCTGACAGTTTCACTGCTCTTTCTTTTCTTTCCTTTACTTTTTAATTTTATTTTTATAAAGTGGTTCACAAAAATTTATTACCACCAATTCCACCACCATTACATCTTCCCACCACCATTATTTCAAATTTTCCTAAGCATCACCCAAGCCTGCCCCAATAGCAGGCCTTAACTAATCCATTTTGTATTGTTTGCTATGAATAATTCGCTAAAAATGATCCAAAAAAGTTTCTTTAGGAGAAAGTATGTGAAGATTGTTGTATCTCACCCTGGAGCCACTATGTCCTTGTATAAAAGATTACTAACATGTTGTTACAGGTTGAGCCTGTGCGCAAATACATATATTTTAATTGATATTGGATGCCTTCTACTTTATACCTCATCCAGTGTGGTGTGCTACTCCTGGTACATCAGTGGTGTAGAGTTTGAGGTGTCAATCCAGAAATTCTAAAATTTTAAATAGGGTGATACAGCTGAAGTTAAATTTTTAATTGGATGGTGACTTTGGGTTCTGGAGGCATCCTGGAGCTTGTTTATCTCTTCCAAGAATTATTTGTGAGTCTCTTGGTCATGGCCATTGATGAGCTTATATGGCATCAGAGGCAGTTCGTGGGCAAGACTGCCCGGCTCCTGGAAGAAGAGGGAGATGGGGGCGGTCACCCATTCCCAACTCCGTCGAACCCTGGAGATTTCAGTCACAAAACTGCATACCTGAGTTTTTCAATAAATGCATTCATGATTGAGGCTCATCCTGAGTCTGTAGAGATCAGCCATGATCATGGTGGTGATTGGGTTCTTGAGGTTTTCAGCTGCCAGGACTGTTCTCTTACTTTCTATTTTTTTTTTTTAGTACACAGGGGAGACTTTCCTCCGAAGGACCATCAATCTTAAACTTGGTCCAGAGTGGGCACCCTAAAGCATATTCCGAGGTCATTCACACAATTGTCTGACAAGTCTCTGTAAGGTCACCCCTTCCTTGTGAGTCTCCACTCCACAAGACTGCCTGGCTAAAGAGCTGTGAGCACTCACCTGCAATGGCATGGGGGTCTGCCGAGTACTCCTGCACATCCAACACACAGCAGTCCAAAGCAGCTTTCAACTTCTTTAGCTTGGAGGCAGATGGAGCTACTCGGAAAAGTCCCTATCAATATGACAGAGGGTCAGTGGATAGCCCTGTAACTCAAAGGCAGAAAACTAAAAGTAAAAGAGAGAAAACAGACACTCCATTTCTGAAAAACCCAATTTTTTGCCAGCTTGGTTATGCAATGACAGTTACAATATAGCTGACTATTTTCTGTTTTCTCTTTTAGACATAAGAAGGCTGAGCTACAACTGTGCAGTTATCATAATCCCCCGCATAATCACTGTAGAAAAAATAAGACCTGGTTAGACTTGAGAGCATTGGAGGTTAGATGTAAAAGGAAACTACGGGAGTGTGTGTGTGTGCATGCTTGTGTTTTGGTAGCCACAGGGTCATACTTTTAGCACTATCTAAAACATATATCCTCCAGGGAAGGGTAGACCAGGAATTGGGGAAAGAGTAATGCTTTTTTCTTTCATATTTTATATGTTAAGTTACTTTTAAATTATGATCACTCTTTACAAGTGAACCACTTCATCTTCTACAACGAAAGTGAACTATAAAGAGAAGGAAAAAAAGAGTTTCCCATACAAAAGGGTGTAAAAAGAGGAGACAAATGGAGATCAGAACAGGAAGGAATATTCAGCTCACAGCTAAGTCAGATGTGGACAACACATATAATATTTTCTATTTTACCTTAGGTCCTTGTTTTTTTGTGATGAAATCCAGATTTAAAAAAAAGACTTTTTTGCTCCTTTACATTTCATTAAAAGAAAATATGCCTGGTCTACAACACCAGACTGCTGGCCTGATAAGACCACTATGTCCCTTCCTCTAAAAGCATATCAGATACCAATGGTTTGACACATATACGTAAGGAAGCCACAGAACATTTTTGGATTAGTGTATAACTAAGGTTACTGTGAAGAACAGAGAGAGCTAGTGCACATGTTCAAGGAATGTGTCAGATTCTCAGGGTTATGACATAGCTGTGAAGGGAAATAGCATCCGATGATGAACAATGACAAAGAGAAGCAGGTAGAATTGTCCAACCAAGATTTTAGATTTTTTATTTTGTAACTGTGTAGACTGTTGTCCTGAGTGATAGACAGAAACTGGGAGAAGAAATAGTGCCCTAAAGTATCTACTGAAGCCAGGTTAAGGGCGTAAGAAGAAAGCAGTATAGAAGCAACCTTGGGAGCGGGTTCAGAGAAGCATGAGGACTCTGCATCTTCAGAATTTGATGCCCAGATTTATGAGAGGATGATTATACTACAGGAGAGCTCAGAGGGCATGGAGGTAAGAGTGAATCTGGGGAGCTGATGGAGTCACTCATTTCAAGGATGTCCACACTGGTTTCTTCATAGGCAGCAATGGATTCAGAGTGACTGCTCTAAATCAGGAGTTTTCTCAACTGGGGATGGGGGTGGGGCAGGGTCCTTGGAAACTTCTGAGGTCAGGTTTAGCCCAAAAGGGAGAGCAGAAATGACACACAGAAATGAGTCAATTAGTATTAGCAGAAACAGAATCACCAAACATGAAGAGCTATTTTTAGAAATAGGGTGAAAAACAAACCAACAAAAAACCTAAAAAAATAGGAGGAAATAAAATGTCACTATCACTGTCTCTGTCATCTCGTTGTTCATTGAGTTGCTTGAGCGGGCGCCAGTTACGTCTCCATTTGTCCCTGTCATGTGCTAGTGTAGCCCGATGGCATATTGGGTGCTCTTTCAGGGTCGGGGGAATGAGGACCATCATTGTTACTGTTTTTGGCATACCAAATATGCCAAGGGTAGCTTGCCAGGCTCTGCCACGTGGGTGGGATACTCTCAGCTTGCCAGGCTCTCCAAGAGGGATGGACGCTTTTGGTGCAGCCTCTAATCACCTTTACAGGTGTTTCCAGTCAGGCATATATGTGGGAAGGTTATTTTTGTAGCCTGCCGGGTTCTCTGAGAGTGAAAATGAGACAATAAGAGACTGCGTGGCCACACACTTCCTGGAGCTTGGTTTTATAGTCCCTGGATTTTAGCCATTGGTGGGATTACGGCAGTTGGTAGGTGTAGCTGTCTAGCTACTGGAAGATGAGGGATCCGGGTGGAGGAGGGTACTTAGGTTAAACATCATTTTTTCCAGGTTAGGGGAAACCTGAGCATACCTGATACTAAACAAAGAAAAGCAGGGTTGGGGAGGTAGTTTAAATTGTATAGTATATGCCTAATCTGCCATACCCTAAACTCAATTCCTGGCACTACTTCTTCTGTCCCAAGCACCACCAAGCAGCCAGCCAGGTGGCACTCAAATCCCCCCATGCCCCGGACCCCCCACCAGCACACACACACACACACACACACACACACAATGGCCTTCCCAGCATTAGAGCCAAACCTTCAGCCAAGCTATTGTTCTGTACCACCAATCTCTGGCTGCCCCCCCTTAGAGCCTCTGGATATTGTATGGCCACAAAAATTAATATTTTTTAAAAAAAGCAAAAAAAAAATCAAGTGAGAGAGTGAAGAATGATGTATATTGAGAAATAAAAAGTTCCAAAAGAAAAGATGGATTAGTTGAGAAACAATATGGGTAACATCAGAGGATCTATTTGTTCTTTAAGATCAGTTTATAATAACTAGATATTTAAAGGTAGTAATTACTTTTAGTTTTTGTTCATAACAATATTTAAAAATTTTTAAAAATTCACTATCTTTTAGAGAAATGTATTAAATCCTCTAAAGATACAATGATAGAATGGCTTGAAGATAATCAAAGTAGGAGTTGAAGGGCCCAAAATGGAGGCAGAGAGGAAACGGGACTGGCCATCAAACTGGGTGATGGAACTTACTATATTATCTTTTGTGTGTCCATTTTTTTCATAATTATAAAGAGAATGATGAGAAAAAGCAACTAGTCTAGTTTTGGTAGGTAACAGGTTAGTAGGTAATAGTAATACCAGGTAGTCTAGTTTTGCCACCTACAATCAAACTATTACTCAGGGATTGTAAAATCTTCTCATGTCATTGATGATAACACATGTGAAAATGTCTGGCTCTTAAAACATGGTCACAGAAATTATTTATTCCCATTTCTTTTGAAAATTCAGTATCTAGAAAAGACTTGGAATTCATATTCTTCCTTCTCTTTCATAGTTCTCACAGTTTTCTCGTTGTAAACAATAATTTAATGCTTATTCAAAGACAGATGATCAATCAAATTTGATAATCTTTTTAGACCCATATCTCCCCAAAATTCCTAAGTCTCAATCTCACTTTCATAATTTTCTCAGGAATAAACGCATAGTATGTCCTAAGTAAATATTGCCGTACTGGTGAGACCAAAGGAAGATGGCTTAATCATTTTAAACCAGTCTATAGAAAAAACCAAATATGAAGTATACCCCCAGGAAATGGTTTACAAAGCAATAAATATTGACCAATTTATCAACTTTTTTTGCATATGACTCTTAACAATACTTTATGATGTTTTTTAATAGACTCTTAGAAACACTTTATAATGTTTCTATCAATCATGTTTTGGGGATGTATACATTAAAAAGGTACGAAGGTCTAATAATCAAATTAGGGAACTTATTGGACTGGAAAGACAGTGAAAAGAACTCCTGGCAAAGACGCCTTGAATGAGTTAAGTACTTCGTTTAACCTCCAGTACACCATGATCTCCAACCACTGCTAGATGTAGCCCTAGTGGCCCCCAGTAGCAGCAGGATCTCTGGGCCAATGATCACCAGGAGTGGCCCCCAAAGTATCTGAGCTCTGCTTGGGAAGTCTCTTGAAACAGATAAAAATTAGGAAACTAATAGGCAAAAGGAGGGATAAGGGAAGCGAAGAAAAGGGGCAGAGCTACAAGGGTAATGTGACAGAGTAAGTGAGGAGGAAAAGAGGAGGAAAAAACAGACAGGGAGAAGAGGAAAAGAGGAAGAGGAGGAAAAGAGGAGTAAAGAGGAAGCGGAAAAAGACAAAGTGAGCCCAAATAATTTTAAATACAGATATCGCTGTCTCTCACTGCATATCACTGTAAGTTCCTCCTGGCCATTGGTACCAGTATTGCACTATCCTTTCTCCTCTTCTCTTCCTGTAAAGTGAAGGTACATGGGAGGAACTGGGACTAACGTGTACTCTTTAGGAGCGGGGATTGCACAGCAGCTCAACCCCTTTCGGTTTCTGAGAGATGAACAGGAACGATGAGGAAAGGAGATCCTTCAGACAGTCCCAGGTGAAAGGAGATGTGTTCAGGACCGGGCTCAGCTGAGCCTAGACCCACCTCTTCCTGCAACCCACATTCCAGCAGCATCGTCACACAGGCCTCAATGGGGAAGGCGATCTCCCGGCCACTGATCAAGAGGTGTTCCTCCAGGGGCTTCCCGAAGGAAGGCTTCTCTACCCACGCCTCTGAGGGAGCAAAGGAAAAAGGTGTCGGTCAGCAGTCCAGTTAGTGATGGTCACTTAGATGGGGACGAAAAGATTAGCCTAACGCTGCCAAGGACATGGAAGCTCAGTTTTGTTTCCTTTCTTAGTGTTTTGAAAATCTAGGGAAGACTGGGAAGGGTGAAGGGTCACTCGGCTGCATCCCGGCCTATTGGGCTTCATGAACATCCACATACCCTAGCCTCATCCCCTGGAGTCAGTGTGTGTGTTTGCTTTGCTTCAGTGCAACTACATCGAAGTCCCAATCTAGGAGATTCTAGTAATTCATTTAAATCTTATTGTGGAACTCATAGGGGCAAACAAAATAAAGAAATATCTTATCAAGGAGACTAAGCTAACTCACTAAGTCTCCTGCCAGCAAGGAACGCATGCACTTACCCTGTTGTGCTTTTATCTGAGGCAACACTGCTTGTAAGAGTGTCAATGATTTCTTGTGGTATTCAGCTTGCACTTCTATTAGCTGAGAAAACAAAAGGGCAGACTTTACCCTTTCACCAAGGTGGAGAACACAGTCTGCTTTGCCATATGGAGAGCTCTGTAATAAGATGCCCTTAGAACAGGGAAGGAAGCAGAAGCCCCCCACCCTCTTAAATCTGCCTCAACTGAAGAGACACTTTCTCCTTAGCCTCTGTTTTTGGTAGAGACAGAAATGGAAATTTAGAAAGTAGAACTTTAAAGGAATGAGGTGGTTCTGGAATCTGCAAGATGATTATAAGATATAACTGATGAGAAAACTTGGGATCTACAACCCTTGTTAAGAACTTTAGGAAGTAAAATTTCTTCGTTTACAGTGTGATGCAGTACAAAGAAAAGTTACTTCTATTTTTGCTATTCCATTATTTCTAAAAAGATTCTGAAGGGGAAGGGGAAAAGCTACTGAAATACTGATACAGTAGTTGAAAACTTGTGGTTGACTGCTTTCTGAAATCCCTCACCCCTTAACAATTGGACATGCATTCAGGAAGGGGACAGAATGACTGTTTAATTGCTTAGTATGGGACAGATGATATTATTTCCCCTAAAACTAATATCTACATTTAAAAAATCAGAATATTGAAATGAATGATACATAAGCGATGATTAGACAGTTTAATAAAGCTTAGAATGTTAATAGTACCAATCATTTTAGAAACTATAAAAATAAATATTGTTGTAACAAATAAATCCATTGGAACATACTTGACAAAATTCTGCTATAAATAAACTTTGACATTAGAAGTAATGTTTACAGTTCTTTTACAGGGTAGAGAGAACTCCTCTGGTCTTTTGGATCACTGGTCAAAGCGCTGGGGCATCACTAGCAGCCACAGTTCTCTCCTTCCCATCGTTTACACTTTTCAGTTACATGTTCAGTTATGCTTACACTGTTCACTTACACTTATTCCTTTACTTTTTAAAAAGTCATTCCATCACTTCCCTGATCATAAATAAGAGTTTTGAGGTTATATTTTTAATCCCAAATTTAAAAGTAGGTGAGCTCATCAAACTCAGTCTTCACACATGCTCTAGACTGAACTACACACTTTGCTCAATAACTCTTTCTCTTTCTCTCTCCGTTCCCCCCCTCATCCAATATCCCCTCTTCCACCTACTGCCTTGTATTTGCACTAGAAAGAATAAGGGTCCTGATTATTTGGAACACATTATTAAAAAATGGATGACTCAAATTCATTGGGGCAAGCAAATGTAACACAACAATTATTATTTGTATCCTTGTTCCCGTTTTTTGGTAAAATTTAGACTAAAATCATATATGTCCAGGAGATAGGACTATTTTCTAGCAAAATCCCCTGTTTATGACAGAAGAGGGTTTCTTCCAATTGGCCCGACTGCGTTTTATTTTGTTTGTTTGTTTTGCTTTTTGGGTCACACCCGGTGCTGCACAGGGGTTAATCCTGGCTCTGCACTCAGGAATCACCCCTGGTGGTGCTCTGGGGACCATATGGAATGCTGGGAATCGAACCAGGTCAGCCACGTGCAAGGCAAATGCCCTAACTGCTGTGCTATAGCTTCAGCCCCCTCTACTGAATTTTAGGAAAGACAATTTTTTGCTGCAGATCAGTCTTGTACATTCAGGAACTTTTATCACATCCTTGACCTCTATCTACTAGGTACCAGTAGCAACAACTCCCCTCCCCTCAATAGTGACTGGCAAAAACAACTTCAGATATTGCCAAATCTTTAATGGAAGATGGATTAACATTACTCCTGGTTGGTAATAACTGCCATAGATAACATGTTGTTGTAACTTTGGTGGGTGGGGTCAAGTTTAATTTTTAGACTCTACGAGAGATTCATAAAAGGAAAATAAAAAGGCCAGATATGTGAGGGATGAGAGTAAGGACTTATCCTTCTCCTTGGTATCTCAACCAAGAGGTCCTCCACTCTATTCTTTCTTGTCAACACCATGACTCTAGGAAAAAACTTCACAAAGCCTCACCTTTTGAACACTTACCGTCTGAAAGTAGTTTGCATAGTCAATTTCTTTGGCCACAAAGCTGTACATGTCAGCTGAAAGTTGGTCCTATGGAAGGTGAAAGACAATCAGAGTAAAACAAATCAACAGAGTGGCTAATTCTTGACTTCAGACATAATTAAAGAAGCTTAAACACTGGTGAATTCAATTTTTAATACAACTAGACACATAACACGCTTTTTGGTGATATTTCCATGTTTTCTTACCATATAAATGTAAAGAGCACCAAATGCCAGTAGTTTTCCTAAGGATTTTAACATGTCACGTCTAGAGTGAGAAAAACTGGAGTGGGGGAGTAATACAAATTACTTTTGTACAAATCTGCAGCTAATACCATCTTTACCCCCAAGTAAAGAATACGCTCCTTCTCTTTCCCATCTACCTTTTTTCTTAATCATTCAACTGCTTTGATTTCCTTTAATCTACATCATGATTGGTTTGTTGCACGTCAACAGGGAAAGAGGCAGAATTACATCAGTCTGGGGAAATCTGGATAAGATGGCAAATTCAAGAATTCAGAAAACTGGAACTTATCTGACTCACTTATGAATCTCACACACTGGCCACTAGCAATCAATGAACCTGAGTTAACAATCTGATGCTGTGTCTGAATCTGAAATACCTCTCTTCTGAGGACAGTTTTCAATTCCATAGAAATATCCAGAGACATGCTCAAATAAAAGTATACCCTGAGCAGGATGCAGAATCTTTCACTAAATATATCTCTCAGCATGTCACATCTCTGAACTTGGTTCTGAAAAATATTCTGATCTCTAAATTTATTTCCTGTTCAGTAGTCTTAGGGAGGAGAGATTTAGAAGACAGGGCAGCACAAAGCTCCATAGAGGTTCAGTTTTGTGCCTGCATCTACTGTGTCAGAAAAGAGTTGAGAAGAAAAGAGTCCATAAATGGATCGTTTGTGGCAAATATCAGACAGCAAAAGAAAGTTGATCCAAATGCTGAATGGATCACAATAGGGGACTGCCATCAGAAAGAATCTACTTTATGGGTCCTAGAGGATTTGCACCATCCCCAGAACCTTAGCCCCTCTAGCTACTGACTAAGTCAATTCTCAGCAAGGAGTAATGGGGTATTATGAGTAATCTGTTTTCTTTTATGCACTATGGACAGGAAAGTAATGGCTGGGGATATTATTAAAGACATCTTGTACCTATGGCAAGAGAAGGAAGACACAGGGTTAAAGGGAAAATCTGTTGCATGATTTTTGCATATAATTTGATGAACTGTTAGCACAGATTAATCAGAGATACCCTTGGTCTAATTTCAGAGAATGAAGAAAGGAAAAAAGAATGAATCAAAATTTGCTGAGAAAAAGAACAGATGCATTAAGTTTGTAACCCTGACGAGATGTGGGTTCATAGCTTCCCAACATGCCAGTAGATTTGATGCTATCACTAGCTCAAAACTAATGGAAGCTTCCACAGCATAGATGCAATAAGGAAGCACAAAGCTCCATAGAGGTGCAGTTTTGTGCCTCTATCTACTGTGTCAGAAAGAAATAGGGAACAGGCAGTAAACAGCAGAGAGTGTACAGCTGTCTCAGACACAGCTAGGTACAGACTGGGAGGTGACATCTGAAAGGCTGCAGCAGACAGCATATATCCAAGAGGTGGGCCCAACCTCTCAGGCTAAGGTTTAGAACAGCCATCACAGAGCTGGAATGCCAAATGCAAATATCCTCTCAAAGTGATAAGAATCAATTTGCTAAACAATTATTATTGGGTATACATAAACACAATCTCCAATCATTGCCAAAGTCAGTTAGACTGTGATGCCTTATTAGTTGACAGACATGAGTAATTCTGAACCCTTGGTACAGCCCACGCTAGCTAAACATTGGTTCTATAGAAGCTCTAGGGCACTGGCCCTGCAAACTCCCTGTTGTTATACAAGTGCACACAACTCAGAGTCACAAGTACCAGTCAGAGCTTGCAAGCATTTAAGACACTCTCACTAGATACTTTTGGCTTCCAGAAAGCAGTGTGATCATGGACACCAGCCTGATACTGCAAAAAAGAGCAACAGGTTTTTGCTTAGGTCAAATGGAACTCCAAGTTCCACCCTTATCTCCCATGAATCAACAGGAATAATGGGTGGCGGGGGCGGGAGAGGGGTGTTGGTAAATGAATGAATCCAGTGGCAACAGAAACCCAGGAAAGTCTTCAACTACATTGGCTCTTTAAAAACTGCCTAAAGATAAAAACAATTCTCTTGATGTCCACTTCACAGAGGAAATCACTGGGGGAGAAGGTCATAGAAATATTGATAGAAAAAATGAGAGAACTCTTTCAAAAATAAAGGGAAGAGCCCAAAACTACAGGAGGTGGACTCAAAGTCAGAATGTAAGAAGCCTTTACTGTGAAGACAAGGCATAAAAGATCATTAAAAAGAAGGCAACAGAAAAGAAAAATTTTAAATGATAAAAACTTAAACCATGAATTTGAAACATTAAGAGAAATAACCTGCACATCATAGGAATTCCAGGAGGGAGGAAAGAAAGAGAAAGAATGGCTAAGAACTTCCTCAACTAAAGAGAAAGGTATTTCTGCACAGATCCAGAACATACAAAGACAGCCAAATAAAATAAACTCAGCAGAACACCACTAAGACATTTTGCAGTCAAAATAACAAGAACCAGACAGACCAATTCCTTAAAGCAGCAAGAGATAAGGAAAAACTCACTTGCAAGGTAAATTATGTAAAATTCATAACAGATTCCTCAAATTAACCTCAATAAGCAAGACAATGCAATGATATATTCAAAATATTGCATGAATACCTCTACCAAGAATTTGACTGTAAGGTTAAATTAACTATAACAAGAAAGTTAGAGGAAGCACCAACATTTGGAAACTGAACAACATATTCTTAAACAACCAATGAGTCAAAGAGGAAAGATGAGATTTTTAAAGAGAAAATAAAAGCTCACTTAATATTAATGAGAGAGAAGACAAAAACTATCAGAATGTATTAGACAAAGCAAAGCAGTACTAAGGGGAAAGTTCAAAGTGATAAAAGTTTCTATCAGTAAATCAGAAAAGCTCCAATCAATAACCTACCTCACATCTGGAGAAACCAGAAAAAAGAAAAACAAATGAACTTCAAAATAAGTAGAAGGAAAGAAACAATAACAACTACAGAAGAAACCTGTAATGCAAAAATCAGAAAAAAGAAAAACAAATGAACTTCAAAATAAGTAGAAGGAAAGAAACAATAACAACTACAGAAGAAACCTGTAATGCAAAAATCAAAAAACAATACATATGGCAAATAAAATCCAATGTCTTAAAAACATATAATAAAAATTACTGGCAAACATTTAGCTAGACTTTAGCTATACCTTTAGCTAGATAGAAAAACATCTATAGACCAAACATGATGGCCTCTCATTATCTGTACTCATAAGTAGAGAGAGAGTAAGAGGGAAATTACCATAGAGGCAGGGTGGGGGTGGGAGGACATGGGGTGAGGGGAGGAATACTTGGGGGCATTGGTGGTGGAAAATGTGCACTGGTGGAGGGATGGGTATGACTGAAACTCAAACATGAAAGCTTTGTAACTATAACTCATGGTGATTCAATAAAAAAACAAAATTCAAACAGAAAAGTCTATAGAGGGAAAAAGAAAAATCCCAAGCAAATCACATTAGAAATTAAAGAAAATATGTTACAAAGGATACCTCAGAAATACAAAAGATCATTGGAGATTACTATGACCAACTCTATTCTACTAAGACAAAGAGCATAGAAGAAATGGATACAATTTGGGAATTATACTATCTCCCATAATTGAATCAGGAATAAGCACAAATCAGAACAGATCAAACATGATTAAGGAAACTGAAAAATTGGCATGGTAACAGTTCTTTCAAAACCTTCAAAGAAATCTTGGCCCTTATACTCACATACAAAAGAAGCAGGAATTCTGCTTAAAATTACTTAAGTACCAAAAGTAGAGAATTTATTAATAAAAGTAAAAAATTTAAAATGACAGGCTCATACCCACGATGACCAGCAAAGCAAAGACCCTCAGCAAAATATTTGTATACCAAATACAACAACATACCAAAAATATAACACGATCAAGTGGGATTCATTCCAGGGAAGCAAAAATAACACAGCGGGTAGGGCGTTCGCCTTACACGCGGCCAACATGGCCTACCCGAGTTTGATTCCTCCGCCCCTCTCGGAGAGCCCAGCAAGCTACCGAGAGTATTCGATATGCCAGACACAGTAACAATATAAGCATATCAATTAATAATATACCATATCACAAAGGGAAAGATAAAATTATATAAGCGAATAAATATAAGCAAATCAATTAATAATATACCAACAATATTAATAATATGTCAACAAATTATATGGTTATATTAATAGAAATAAATGTTTCGGAAGGATTCAACACTTATTCACAAATAAAGTACCTCTAAATAAAATAGAACTTTTTTATTTCTAAATATTTTATTTCTAAATAAAAAAGAATGTAATTATAGTAATTGCCTTATACAACAAACCCACAGGCAAGACCATATTCAATGGTGAAAAAATGAAAATAGACACAAAGCAAGGATGTTTACTTTCCCCACTATTATTCAATATAACTTTGTAAATCCTTGTCATAGCAATCAGGCAAGAAAAATAAATCAATCATCCAAATTAGAAAAGGTAAAATATCAATCTGTAGATATTATAATATAAATAGGTCACAAAACATCTGATTATAAATTCAGAAACAATAAAACCTATGACAAAACCCCATATATATCGATAGTTAATTATCAATAAGGGAGATGAGAACATGAAATACAGCAAAGATGGCCTCTTCAACATATGGTGTTGGGAAAACTGGATAACTAAATGTAAGAAATTAAAACTGAATCCATATCTTATTCCTCACACATAAGTTTATTCAAAGTGAATCAAAGACTTTGAGATCCTACCAGAAACTATAAAGTACACTGAGGAAAATACAGTCAGAACACCTCAAGATTTGGACTTCAAAGTTGTCTTCAATGATATGATACC